CTGGAGGAAAGTTTCTGCGCTGGCAAAACGTCTGCCACAGGACTGGCGTCAAGCCTTCCAGGCCATCATTCTCGAGGGCACGGACCTGGCCGGGCATCGGGTGCGAGCAGCCGTTGACACAGGGCATACGGCGGTGAGAGCCGCTGCCCCGGGAGTGGACGCACGGTGGTCTGCTTGGCTGCAAGCCTCCAGCTTCCACAAGGAGGTCCAAACAAAACTTGAGAACTTACCCTACGCAGGGGAGATTGTCTTTGGGGAACAGGTGGAAGGTACTTTACAGAAAGCCAAAGAAAGGCAGGCCACGCTGCGCTGCTGCGGTCGGCGTCCTGCCCGTCGGCCTCCTGCTCTGGGGTGGGAAGGGGAAAGCTCCTCTGCATAAGCCAGCTTTCACATCCACTGTTTGTTTCAAGGGTGTGCGGTGCCCTTCTGGGAAGGGTGCCCCACCGCAGCAGCAGCATGAGGTGCTCTTCATCCCCTCTCTACAGACAGCAAAAATAAAAGGGAATTCAAAGAGCCTGAGGCATTTAGCTGGTAAATCATGTTTGGGAAACTGATACCCATCAGTGAGATGACTCGGTTTGCCTTTTATTTCCTCCTGCTTTTGAGTTTCAAGTCCTAAGCTTTATTATGTATGACTAGAAAACAAAAGTGTGTCCAAATCTCCATTCCTCAGTTCCCGAGAGTGCCCTAATAAGCCATCATATTGTGGAGAACCGCATAGGGTCTGATTCCTCTTGGCAAAGACCCCGGGCTGTGGGGAGGAGGAGTACATCCTAACGGGGAAGTTAAAGAACTAGAAAAGTTCGAGATACTCACACAGGGATTCCTTCTGTCCCTTCCAGACCAAGGCAAGAGGCTGCCGATTCAGCCTCCTGCGGACGCTGCGGCAGCATGCTTCCTCAGCAGCGGTGTTTTTTAAAGGCGATGTACAAACCTTCTCCGGATTTGGTTACCTGAGTGGTTTGAGGCTCGTTTTCAGCACTGAGGCAGTTTGGCTGGCTCTTGCTTTTTGTCAGTCCAATGTCAATCTGTTAGTTTTCTTTCAATTGAAATGTTTCTCTCTCAAGAAGGAAATCTCAGCAAGAATTTAAGTAATGTCTGCTACTGCTGTTTGTATTGTAAGTGGCTGAAGATATTCTTTCTCTCCCCAAGGACTTGTCCAGCTGGAAAACTGATTGACATCACTTTCCAAACTAACTGTTCTGCAGCAGTTAACCCATACTCTCTGCTATGAAATGGCACTGCATCTATTCTTAAATAAAACCAATTTTATTTCAAACTAGAGAGTCTCGATGTGGGAAGTTACTCTCAAGCCGCTGTCGTGATTGATTTCTCCTTTTTAGGCAAGGCATGGTGTTGCTTAATTCTCGTTAAAATAGGTTGGCTAAGCAAACCATTGCACGGAAATACAGCCCAGATCAGGACACAGCTCAGCCATTTCTATCTGTTGGGCTTGTGTTTTATAATGGGAAATTCTATAATATGAAGTTACAGCTCCAAATACTTGTTTACACTAGGGCTCACATTATCACTGGAGGGGAAGAGTAAATCACTGAGAAGTCTAAAAATAACCCGAAACCTTCCGCAGACAGGAAGGTTCTGTTATTTGCAGAAAGGGAAGTGTCTGATGCAATGATCCTGTCTCAAAGTAGCCGTAAGGCAGTGGTACAAGCAGTGCCTCATCTTGTCTTTTGGGTAGCTCTCAGCATTGCTTGCCCCGCAGTGTGTCATGGGACTCGCAGTTTAGTGTCCCACGTGGCTTTTCCCGCGATCAAAGAATCATAGAATCACAGAATCGTCCGGGTTGGAAAACACCCTTAAGATCATCAAGTCCAACCGTCAACCTATCACTGCCAAGCCCATCTATACCATGTCCTCAACCACCACATCTGTCCGTTCTTTAAATACCTCCAGGGATGGAGGCTTAACCACTGCCCTGGGCAGCCTGTTCCAATGCTTGACCACCCTTTCGGTGAAGAAGTTTTTCGTAATATCCAACCCAAACCTCCCCTGGCGCAGCTTGAGGCCGTTCCCTCTCGTCCTGTCACTCGTTGCTGGGGAGAAGAGACCGACCCCCCCGGCTCCAGCCTCCTTTCAGGCCGTTGTAGAGAGCATCGAGGTCTCCCCTCAGCCTCCTCTTCTCCAGGCTAAACAACCCCAGCTCCCTCAGCTGCTCCTCCCCAGCCTTGTGCTCCAGACCCTTCACCAACTTCGTTGCCCTTCTCTGGACATGCTCCAGCATCTCAGTGTCCTTCTTGTAGCGAGGGGCCCAAAACTGAACACAGTACTCGAGGTGCGGCCTCACCAGTGCCGAGTACAGGGGCACTGAGATGGTGCCTTGCTGGTCCCTACTGGGGGCAGGTAACAAAAGAGCTGTCACCAACGTGGGGTGTCCATAATAAAGTGAACCTCGGCGTGCCAGCTTGGTACAAAGGGGCTTAATTCAACCCTGTTCCGCCCTGACGGTGCAGATGGGATGAGAATGGGTGAGAATGGGTGGCCGAGACCGCGTCAGCTTGACCCGTGCAGCAAGCGTTCACTCCTCAGCTGTGCAGGGCGCTGCAGCTCCCACTGCGCCGGAGCTCAGTGGGCTCGGGAGGAGCAGGCTCAGCCCAGTCGTCGACAGAGCCTGCGGGTGCCCGTGGATGTTTACAGGTCCCGACTGCAGACCCTCTTCCAGGTGCCGACAGATGGCTGCATCCCGCTGGTCTGCTGCCACAGAGACCCACTTGCTGTTGTTTGGCCTTGAGGTGAACCTCTCCTTCCCCAGGATCCGTAATATTTCCAAAGCAGCCACATCTTGTGTTTCTGGGCCATTTTGTGGAAAATCACGCACCTGGAGGCAGTGCAGTGCTTGATTGCAACCCTTTCTTTGCGGATCTCTTGAAAGCTCTCCCGATGAGGCATAAAGCTGCCACGGCGAATCTGCGCACAGAACTGGGGCTCCTCTCGCCTGGCAATGCTGGGAGAAAAATGAGGCTTATTTGGCTTTATCTGGAATGCTTTATTTTTTTCTGAACGAGCCTCTTCCCTGGGGATGAAATGGAGGGCTGGCAGGAGAGGCAAAGCCAGAGAGTATGGGAGCGAGATCAAAGCGGTACCCACAGCGTGGGAGGCATGGCCCAGGTGAGACACGGCAAGGAGCGTGGCACACCCGCAGGAGCAGCAGCAGGGAGCCAGGGGCTCTGGCTGCATGGTTCGTAACTTTTACCCCCAAGGCTTTTTATAGCATCCTTGAAACCTCCAGGTAGCCTGAACTCAGGAGGAGCCTAGCAAGGGTGCTGTGAAGCTTGCAGACTTGCGTGGGGCTGGTAGCCAAGGTGCCCGAGATGTTATCCACGCACCCAGAAGGTGACGCCTCCTCCAAAAAACCCAAGCAAGAGCACAAAGGACACATCAAGCCATGCGCCTGCCATCTAGGATTAGTGACCGCACCCGGCTCTAATGAGAGTGGGGCAGGGATGTTGCGATGGGATGACAGACCAGCAAGGGGGAGCGCACCAGCAGCAGTGTGGGGTTTGCAGCAGGTTGGAAAAGCAGCTCTGGGGGAGAAACGGGAGCCAGAGGGTTGTGGTGGGACAGGGAGAGCATCCTGGTGCCATGCTCCCCCGCCACGTCATCCCAGATGTCTACACCTCAGGTCTGGGGCCTGTTTTGATTGTGGGCATCATCGCACTGCCACCTCCTGCCGTTCTCCTGTCCACTGGTGCAATGAATATGCCAGTTCCTTACATCTCTCCACTGCAGCAGCCTCCGCTTCATCCCGCCACCCCAGATGACTAACAACTAGTCCGTTGGAGCTGTTCCAACATCCACTGGATGCTCTAAGCAGTGCCAAAAGAGTTCTCTGCTAAAAAGCCAAGCTGTAAATATCACTAGATCACCCTCACAGGAGCTGGGCATCGGTGGAGGCACGAGGGATAACAGCAGGACCTGCGGGTCTGCCTTCCCAAGTGGTCCCAAACAGCGAGGGACCCGTGCCTGCGTCTCGGGGCCAGGCAGACTGCCATCTCAACCTGCGTCTCTGCCAGGAACACCTGCGTTGCTCCTGCCTCAAGACACGTATTCAGGTGCTCGTGGGCTCATCGCCTGAAACGGCTGCATGGGGAGCCCGGAGAGTGGAGCCGTCTAGCTCGGGAGAAGCAGAAAAGCACCAATGGTGGGTAAATCACTCAACTTACCAGCACAGATCACTGCTCTGGTCTGCTGCTGGGTGTTGTGCCTGGCCAGCGGTGACGTGCTGAGCGGGTGTATCCTGATGCCTGTAGCGTCGTGGCTGAGCTGTACCCAGCAGCTGCCTGCGTGGCACCTCTGGGAAACTTTTAAGTGGCCCAAAGCATTAATGCAGGGAGAGCACAGCACAGCCACCAGCTTCGGCAGCGTCACCACCGCCTGCACTGCTGCAGCGAGCCAAGTCCTTGCACTCACGTTGGCTCTAAGTGACACAAAGGGATTCGTCGTTACCTGGAAATCCAAGATGAGGCTCCAAAAGCATCCCCCAAAAGCCAGGCTGTGTTGGAGCATGCCGGCACCGCGAGTCCTGTGCCTGCCTCCATCACACGGTCACAAATGCATTTCCACCCGGCGCAGGGATGCCATCCGTCATCACAAGTGGCTGGTAGCTTCTGGAAAGGGCCTGGGTCTGCAGGACACATGTGCTCTGGCTTCCAGCCAAGAAGCACAAGAAGCACAAGGAGCTCGAATGTTTTTGAGTCAGGAGCTCCCTGGACAATCTGCTGGCCAGTTTCTTCCCTCTCCAGCCCCAATCCTCTTGCCCCAGCCTCTGCTACCGCTTTCTGCCTGCTGCCCGTCACACGTGCTGCACAGTGCACAACCCACAAAGGAAAACCCCAAGCGACAAACCCCAGCCCTGGGGGCGGGCGGAGGCGAGGCCGGAGAGCAGAACCGAAAGCCCGCACAGCCCAGCCTGCCAGCTTGCCGCCCTGCAGGCGCTGCCCCAGCCCCAGCCTCCCGCCGCCGGGACCCCATGCCGAGGCAGGATGGAGGATTTAGGTAAGCTGGGCCCCTCCAGCGCCAGTCCCGTGCCCAGGCTTGGTGCGGGGTCGTGCTGTTGGTGGCTCGGGGGAGCCTTGTCCTTCCTCTACCTCGGGGTCAGGTAGGGATGCTGCAGAGGGGGCAGCAATGGAGCCACACTCCCTGCTGTGCCTCCTCCCATCTCGGGCCAAACGGGGCCCAGGTGGCTGAGCGAGCGCTTGGCCGAAAATGGAGAGCGCTTGGAGGCAGGAAATGCGTTGCAGCAGCGATGCAATCCTGGCTGCACGCAATGGGGCCGAGCAGGCCGAGGGTGCGGAACAACACCCAAGGGTGCTGGGGGTCATCCCTGGGCCGGGATGGGGGAGACGGGGTCAGGGAAGCAGCCAAGCTGCAGGGGGCACCTCCCCTGTTTCCCGACGTGAGGGCGGCGAGATGCCGAGGGACGGCCAAGGTGGCGAGGTAAAAGCGGAAAGAGAAAGCGCTTTGCCCTCCCTGGGGGAAGCGCCGCTCTGGGTGCACAGAAAGCACTGAGGTTTAGCGCTCTCGTGGCAGGGCTTGTGCTGGGATGAATTTAAGGGCTGGTGGATGTTTCTTCATAAGCCAGAGACGGTGTGCGGGGGAAGCAGGACCGCGGTTGCCAGCGGTCCCCCACACTTCAGGAAGGCTGTGCAGCACGGCGGGTGCATCCTGCATTGGGGATGGGGGTCCGGGTGAGGGTGCTCAGGGCCACCACAGCCCCTCGGGGCCCTGGCACCTGGCTGGCAGAAGCTGCTACGACGCTACTTTTGCTCCTGAGATTTCAGGAGTGGCACAGAACCGCTTGGGGGTGTGCACAGGCAGGGAGGGCAGCCAGTGGCTGGGGTGCCCGACCCGGGTCTCTCTGTGCAGATGCTTTGCTGGCAGAACTGGAGCAGAGCTCTCACCCAGCCTCCAAGGACTGCACGCTGCAGGCACCGAGCTCCTGCAAGCAGGATCCGGCCACAGCCGGGCCCCCAGCGCCCCGTGGCCATGAGCCCCCTACCTCCGCGGCCCCAAAGGTAACGCCTCAACATGGTGGGGCTGGCGGTTGAGACCCTGCTCAGCTCATGACTGGGGCAGCGGTGCTGGGCAGGCAGTGAAGGGTGCCAGGGGAGCACCCTGTGGGCTCGGCCGCAAGGGTTTGTCCTTCCAGGTGCAGCTGCCGCCTCGGGCTCAGCCTCCAGGAGAGGTTTTGAAGACAGCGTACAGGTAAAACGCGGCCATGGGAGGGCAAAGCCACCTGGGGCTACCCTTTCTGTTGCTTGGACACATCCTCTGGGGTCACCTGGCCTCCTGCGTGTCCCCCCAAAAAACAGGTCCTTCCGCGAGCTGGGGTGGGGGTTGTATCCTGCATCCCTGCAGCACTACTAGGGCGAGGGCTGGGCTTTGAGCAGCCCCCTCCCTGCCGCATGTGGCCACCCCTGCCAGCATGTCCCCAGGGAGGGCCCCTGTCCCCTGCTGTGGCCGATGGGAAAAGGGCAGCATCTTGCGGGGGTTCTCAGTCCCAGGCACCCTCCAGCCTCCGGGCAGAAGCCACAGCATCCCTCACTCTCTGCTGTGCCCAGTAGCCTCGTACCGGTCCCACAGCCGCTGCTCCCCTCGCCTCCACCCACGGCGGCCGCCCAGCAGCTGGACGAGCTCCTGGCCGACCTGGGCCACATGCAGAGCAAGGTGAGCCTTGGCCCGGGGGAAGGGCGGCTGGGGGCCTAGCCCTCGCCCAGCCCTCACCATCCTCCTCCTGCAGCTAGCGGCTGTGGGGCAGGGGGCCGGGGTGCCAGCGGAGCCCTTGCTGGACAACATGCTGGGCAGCCTCACCCGGGACCTGCAGGAGCTGGGCATCACAGCCGCTCCCGCTGGCACCTGTGCCGCCTGCTGCAAGCCCATTGCCGGCAAGGTGAGCCCCCGCGCCTCCACACCGGCGCCCCTCTCCCCTCGGCTCACGGCATCCCCTGGAGCTGCTCTCGCTGCCCCCCGCCTCCTCGCAGGTGCTCACAGCCCTGGGCAAAACCTGGCACCCCGAGCACTTCACCTGCGCCTGCTGCGGGCAGGAGCTGGGCGGCCAGCCCTTCTTCGAGCGGGGCGGGCGGGCGTACTGCGAGGAGGACTACCACCAGGCCTTCTCCCCCCGCTGCGCTTACTGCGCCGGCCCCATCCGTGAGGTAAGCCCCCCGGCCTCCCACGCCACCCCCCGCCGCCACCGGCCGCCTCGCCTCACCTCACCTCTTCCTGCAGAAAGTCCTCACGGCCCTGGACCAGACCTGGCACCCCGAGCACTTCTTCTGTGCCCACTGCGGGAAAGTGTTCGGAGATGACGGTATGTCCCAGGGGAGAGGTGTGGGGGTCCTGCCCCCATTGCCCCCACTCTGGGTATCCCCCCGTAGCCCAGCCCTTCCACCCGTTGCCCCATCCGAAATCCCCCCGTGGTCTTTCCCTCGCCTCCGGGAAGCCGTACTGCCGCCAGGACTTCCTGGCCATGTTTGCCCCGAAATGCCAGGGCTGCGAGCGCTCCGTGGTGGACAATTACCTGTCGGCCCTGCAGGGCGTCTGGCACCCCGAGTGCTTCGTGTGCGCGGTGAGTGGGTGGCGACCCGGTGGGGACACAGCGGTGAGCGCGTACCTGAGGCTGCACCAGCCTTCCTCGTCTCCTTCCCCCCAGGAGTGCCTGAACGGCTTCGCCAGCGGCTCCTTCTTCGAGCTGGAGGGTCGGCCCTACTGCGAGCTGCACTTCCACCAGCTGCAGGGCAGCATCTGCCACGGCTGCGGCCGCCCCGTGACCGGCCGCTGCGTCACAGCTGCAGGGCGCAAGTACCACCCCGAGCACTTCATCTGCGCCTACTGCCTGGGCCAGCTGCAGAAAGGCAGCTTCCGCGAGCGCGGCGACAAGATGTACTGCCAGGCCTGCCACGACAAGCTCTTCCTCTGACCCCCGGCACGCGGCCCCCCTCCCTGCCGGAATCGTCTCTGGTATCATCCCCACCATCAGCACCCCTGGCATCTTCCCTACCAGGCCAGGCATCCCGGGCATCGCCCCTGCTGAGCCAAACACCCCTTGTATTGTCCCACCCACCAACGTCCCCAGCCTTGGTTCTGCTGAGCCGAATGTCCCCAGCACTGCTTCTGCCAAGCCGCACGTCCTGGGCACCGTCCCCTCCGCCTGAAGCAATAAAACACCTACGCCTGGCCTTGCCTTCGCTCCGCTCGCTGGTGGCTTTGGGGACAAGGGTGCAAGGCAAGGTGGGAGGGCTGGAGCCCCCCCAAAGCCAGGTGCATCCCTCAGTGCTCCCCACCGCCCACGGGTGCCTTGGGTCCCCATCTCCCAGGGTGCTGCAAGCCAGGGGCGCCTCCGCCCCGGCTGCCTTCCCCCTGCAAGGCAGAGAGCAGCCCCGGCCTCCCGGGGGGAGCAGCCCCAGCTCCAGCCCTGCTGCACCACGGAGGAAGTCGTCACCGCAGGCCCGCATCCTGCTACCGCAGGGCAAAGAGCTGCTCTGCGCCACAGGGAAACCTTTCCAACAGCAACACAGCCTCAGTAAAAAAAACGGTTCGAAGTAAAGCCAGAAAACTGCTTCTAAAAAGGTATTTCCACAAATTTACAGAATTCCCTTCTGGATTTATTTTCACACGCACACACAGGTGAAGGCAAAGTGAGTTCACGCCATGTTCCAGCCTGGCTGCGGTGCTCCCAGAAGGGAGGAGCAGGTTTGCAGCCCAGCCCTACTCGGTAGCCCTTGCTCCTGCTCCAGAGGGCTCCCCCACCTCGGTTTTTTAAGGACACACTCAGCACTACAGAAATTATGCTATTTCTTCACTTGTGCAAAGCCTACCGGCCACCAGAAGAGAGGGAAAATTCAGGGAAAGGTTTCCCAGCAGGAAGCCCTGATGCTCCGGGGAGAGGGAGGGCGCTCAGCGACCTCCTGAGCAGCCCCAAGCTCCCTGCAACAATGAGGAGGAGCTCAGTACAAGGCAAAGTTTTGGTGCTTTGGCATCTTTCAGAGCCACACGTGGCTGAGAAACACTGAAGAGCACAGCCCTGCCCCTGGAAAAGACACTTGGTGCCAACTGCAAAGCTAAAAACGCCAAGGTGGCAGCCTTAGGTGGAAGGCACACAGACGCACTTTAAAAACTTTATTTATATAAAAAAATCATTTTGTTTTAAAAGCGTTACAAGAGTGTGCACAGGAATCAGACAAGGAAGAGCCTGTTGCTCCCCGCTCCCCGCCTCCCCAGCCCCGCTCCCTGCCAGGGCAGGGGTGGCCCAGGAGAGCCCGGGCAGGGGAGGAGAGAAGGGGGAAGATTTTTTTTTTTTTTTTTTGGTTCATTTGGAATTAAAAATTAAAAAAGGAATTAGTGTTTTACATATTTAAAGGAAAAGAGAAGAGTTAGACCCCAGAACAAAACCAAACTGAGCTGAGGTGGGGCTGGAGCCGGGGGGGGCTCCGCCGGGGCCGGGAGGGGCTTTGGGGCAGAGGAGCAGGCAGGAGCAAGGCACCAGTTCTGCCTGCTGCAGCCGCCCTGCTCCCCGGCAGCCCGCAGCTCAGGGGAGCCCCAGGCTGGGGAGGGCTCCCGCTCCAGTTTGCAGCCTCCTACAGAGGCTTCCAGTTGCACAGGGAGCCCAAGGGCTCCCCAAAAGATCACAGCACTTAGATGTGCCCCCCACCACCGCAGCAGAGAGGAGGAGGTGATGTCCTAGCTCCCGTGGCAGCCCAGTCTCCCCAGGACAGGATGCAGATGAGAGCCCTGCACCCCATCAGTGAGGGCAGGGGTCTGGGATCCCCCCCAAAACAGGCTTCCAGCCCCACTGCAGATAGTTAAGGCTCCTGGCGGGGAATGGAAGCACTCAGCCCTGCCAGAAGCCCAGGAAACACCCCTTCCCCAGCGAAGAAGCTAGACAGTACGATTCAAAGAGCTATTTCACAGTGGCAAAAGAAAGGCACGTGTCAAGAGAAAGTTAGAGGGGCAGCACCGCGGGCAGCTGGCGCGCGGGGGCGAGGGGGGTCCTGGCTCTGCCTGCTCGCAGCCCTGCCAGCGCCTGGCACGCGGCGCGCCCCAGGAAGCCTGCCTCTCCCCAAAAGCCCTGCCGCATCTCCTCCTTCCGCAGGGATCCCCCCCGCGCAGGCAGGCCCATTCCAAGCTCCCCGCACTGACCATCTCCCCAAATAAGGGTCCCTCCTCGCAGTCGGCGGTGGGGGCCAGTGGCCCCACCCAGACCCCTCTGCAGGATCCAGAGCCAGATCCAGATCCCCCTTCCCATGCCCCCAAAGCCTCATCCAGAACAAAGCCAGAGAAGTTATTGCTGTTTTTCCTCCCCCTCACCCCCCACGATTCCAGCCCCCCTCAACCTGGTCCCGCCACCACCAGGGAGGGCTGCTCCCCTTGTCCCCATGGCCCTGGTTGAAGAGTGATCCCGCACAAAAATATATCCTATAGGCAACAAAACAAAAAACCAAAAGGCGGCAAGTGAGGTCCCAGTCTCTCTCCCTGCAGACAATTCCGAGCAAAAGGGAAGGCGTGGGAGAGAAGGCAGTTCCTGGTCGAGGCAGAGATCCGGAGTCCTTTTGCAGCATCCGCGCCGGTCAATCCGGCAGAGTCAGGCAGGAGGTTTTGCTCTCTGGAGGAAGGAGGTGGTGGAGGACTGGGAGGAAGAGTTATCTGTTGAGGTGTCCCAGACGGGGAGGTGCAGTGGTCTAGAGGAGGCAGAGTGGCCCAGGCCGCCCCCAGGGGACCAGGCCCAGTCATTTGGCTGGCTAGTTGGCACAAACAGTCCAGCAAAAAATCCAAAAATAAGACAAGGTAAAAGTCAGTCCATTCCACCACGAAGAGTTATATATATATATATTTATATATATAATATATTATCAACCCAAACTGAGTGGAGGTGGGGATGGCAGCTAGATCTTCTGCTGTGGAGAGAGAGGGAGAGATGTTAGCACGCCCAGAGAGCGAGCGAGCAGTGGAGGCATGACCATGGCCCCGGCGGATCAGGCAGTGATTGCAGGCAGCAGCAATCAAAGCAGAATTTGGCTGGCCAAAGCACCCCTAACAGCGCAGCAGGATCGGTCACCGCTGTTCAGATTGGGCAGGACACTGCGGGACATACCGACACGGGGGAAAACACGGCAGCATCCTCCTCCGCCTCCTCTACCTCAGGCTGCGATTCCTGCCCCGCCTCCTGCTGCAGACACACGGGGGTTAGTAGGGGCGACGGAGTGGGGTGGGGCGCGGGGGGTGTTAGTTGAGGGAGCCCAGTTCTCCCCTCCTCCTGCCAGCCAGGACAGTGACATGTCATCTCCTGCACCCCAGGCCTGCTCCCTCTTGCCTCATTAGGAAGAGATGCTCACCATCAACGGCACTGCCTTCACCGGCTCCATATCTCCGAGGTCACCAGATCGGTCCAGTGTCCTGCTGTGGTCCCTCTCATTGAGTGTGGAATAGTTGTCTGGAGCAGGAGAGGGGACAGTCAGTCATGTCACCTCCATGGGAGGCAGCATCATCCCCAGAGGAGATGTGAGCTCTGCCCCCTCAAGGGGGCAAGATGCCCCTCTTTCAGTCCCGCTCCTACCTGGTCCCATGTTGCTCATCTGGATCTCCTCCCGGGAAGATTTCTTGTCTACAAGCATGGGAGAGCAGCAGATCAGACACAGCCCCTGCAGCCACGAGCAGCAGAGGAACCCCTGCCTACCCCGGCTAGAGGAGCTCAGAGCCGGCTGCAGCCACAGCACTGTCGACCCAAGGATGCTACAGGACCTACGTTAACTGCATGCATCATTTCTAGCCCTGAGAAGCCATCTAAAGCCCAAACTGATGGCCTTGTGTGAGCAGCTGTGGCTGCCAAGAAAGCCAGGGCTGAAGAGCAGGGAGGAGACAAAGGCCAGCTGTTCTGGGTACCCACAAGGTGGAAGGACAACCATGGGGACAGGTGCTGAAGGCACATACCTGTTTTTTGGTTCCTGTCGATGAGAGGCAAGGTGCTGTCATCAAACGAGTTGCCTCCCTGGGTCCGAGAGGCATTGCTCAGGTTCACCTGGAGCATCAGACAGTGATCACTCAGACCCTGGCCCAGATGCTCCTTCCCCCCCATCAGCACATCCCACCCCTCCAGCCCCCAACACCAGGACAGACCCAGGAACCCTCCCACAGCCCTTGAGCAAGCGACCAGAGGGTGCTCCAGAGCCCATGGCTGCACCCACATTAGAGTGGGGGCAGCCTGCCTGGACTGGGTGAGGGCAGCACCCAGCCCTTAAGAAGCAAGGACAGAAGCTGGACTTTCCCCAGCTTTTGGGAAAGAAACCAAGCCCTGGAGGACCTTGGTCTTCAGCACTGCCACAGTGGCTTTTAGTGCTGCAAACTCTCCTGCCTGCAGATCTGCATGCTTGTGTGGCACACGGGGCTTAAGGCTTTACAGGGTGTTTCTTCCCTAGTAGCGGCCTCCTGCCAGCCATCTCCTGAGAAACAGCAGAGGGGACACCTTCAAGGGTCTCCAATCCCACCAGCAGGGTAAGAGCTGAAATCCAGTACTGCTGAGCTCCAGGAACACCCTTCTCCCTGCTGCAGGACCCTACCTACTGCCCCAGCCACAACAGGGCATCCCCATTCCCCCATCCCCACACCTGGAAATCTGACTTCTTCCAGCCTTCCTTCTCCAGGGGCTTCCGCAGCTCTTTATATCCCCAGACTGTCTGCAAGACGAGGGCGGCTGCTCGGACTTCTCTCTCTGAGCGGTTCCTAGAAAGAGGCGGAGGAAGAGATGTTTGGAAATACCCATGGCCTTGAGGAAGCTCCTGGAGAAGCCCCGCTCTGCCCCTTGCATTATCCTTCAAGCAGAACCTACCCAGATTTGTTGATCAGCACCAACTTCTCAATGCCCTGCGTTTCCCGCAGCTTCTTGGCAGCCTCAAGGTTGTCTACGATTACTTCATTGATGGTGTT